GTTCACGGATCTGCTAGAAACACACACATGCTGACTTCCATTTGGCTGTGTTTGTTGGGTGCAGATTGATGAGTATGCTGTTTCTTGCCTGCCCCTCTTTTCCATATGTGCAAGTTTTACCCTTAGGGCAGATGTGGGTGTGGGCACTTGATGCTTAACCACCCAAACGCGACCCCATTTTCGATATGTGCAAGATTTCCTTTCAGAGCAGATGGGTGTGTGAGAACTTAGTGAGTAACCACACAAATGTGGCCAAACTTTCTGTAATTTGAACCCTACATGGATATTGATAGGTTTGGTAATGATGTCTTACACAACACTCTCAATAGATGCACATAGCCAGTGTTTACATATCAGCATTCCTCACAGTCAGGCCTCTGGTTTCAAATGTTTTTTTTGTTGAATGGCATTGTGAGAACGGTTACACACACTTGTTGATGAGTGCAGGTTGGCTCTCCTTGTCTACACCCAAATTTACTTTCCCATATGATAGTGTGCCATTATGGCAGACGGGTGTAGCCCTCAACCGCACATATATGTCCAGCCTTGCAATCTTCTTACCCCTTGTGGCTATTGGATGGATTTGGATTTAATACGAGCTGACCTTAAAGTCCGGTGAAACAGTCTGTCACAGTCACGCCTTTTTCTGGAGCTGTATTTAGAGAATAGAAACGCATGCCATGCTTGAATAAGTGCGAACATGAGCCAGACATCAGAAATTACAGACCGATTTCCCTATTGCCAGTCACGTACAAAATCCTGGCCAAGCTACTGGCAAACAGAATAAGGGAAATAACAAAGAACTGTTTCCACTTGGACCAAACAGGTTTCATACCCGGAAGATTCATACTAGACAACGTAATGACACTGAATGAATCCGTTAGGTACATCCAGGACAAAAGATTAAACACTGCTATATTGTTCTTTGACTTCGAAAAGGCTTACGACCAGGTAAATTGGAACTTCTTACAACAAAGCATGGAAAAAATGGGGGTAGGCCCCAACTTTCGGAATTGGGTTAGGATTCTATACGCAGATGCCCATGGCAGAGTTCAAGTCAATGGCCATCTCTCCTACACATATCGTATGTCCTGGTCTGTCAGGCAGGGGGACCCTCTAGCGGCCCCTATCTTCTTCTTCATCATGGAAGCTATCGCCTCCTTCCTGAGGAAGGACCCTTCAATAGAAAGGCTAGTGGACAACAGTCAACTCCCGATCCCTCTTCCTACCACTATTATGTTTGCAGATGACCTAACGGTCCTAATACGGGCCACGGATTCGACATTTCAGGCACTGACAAGGGCAATGCAGGCTTTCCAAATAGCATCAGAAATGAAAATCAACTGGTGCAAAACAGCTGGTTGGTGGCTCACAAGCCTGCATACCGATACTCCGCCAAGCACCCCTGAGGGCATGACCTGGACCCGGGGCAATGAACCATTAAGGTTCTTAGGGATTCAGATGTCCAAATACAGCCCCAATCCAGCCATGGCACCAGCAATAATGAACAAGATGATAGCCAAATTAACTAGTCGGTCCAAAGTATACACCTCACTATTCGGCAGAGCGCTGATCATTAATGCGTCTATTTTCTCAATGCTATGGTATGCAGCAACAGTGTGGAGCCCGACAACAAACATAAGACACCAACTCAGAAGGAGAGCAGCAGCTTACCTTTGGTCGGGCGACCCTTCTAAGACCAATTTCATCTCCAAGGTGGCGTGGAGATACGTCACACTCGGGAAGACAAAGGGCGGCCTAGGAATACTGGACCCAGAAACACAAATCAACGCACTGCAAATGTGGCATACTGCGTAGCCACACGGGCCCTACAGGGCCCGTCCCGGACATTCAGCCTAAAAGCCTAAAACTTAGGGCTTACAGGCCCCGTTCATTTCAGCCTGGATGCTGAAAAACGAGGGCCTGCAGGCCCTACCTCGTTTCAGCCTATTTCTGGGTCTTTTCAGACCCAGAGTTTTCAGCCTGAAACGGAGGGCCATTTTCAGGCCCTCATTGTTTCGACCTGCTCCTAAGACTCAGGCACGGAAACAGGGATGCGGAACAGGCCCAAAATAACCTGTTCCTCACGCACTCGAGCAGGAGCTGCAGCTGCAGCCCCTGCCTCCCTTCGGCAGGCTCAAGAGGCACACCCGTAGTACATAGGAGGTTCCCATGCACTTCACGTGAAGGGAGTGTCAGTAGGCGGAGGTAGTCTTCAGGATTCGGCCGCAGCACTCAGGAGGAGCGCTGCAGTAGTCTTCAGCGCTAGGCAGTAGTGGTTGCGCTAGCTGTAGTCTTCGGCGCTGGGCGCCATAGCTGTAGCTGTAGTCTTCAGCGCTGGGCGCTGGTAGGTAGTAGATCGTAGAGTGGGAGAGAGACTGGCGGAGGCCAGTGTTACTTACCTGTGGCGCCATCGCTCCAGCTCCATCTTCGTGGTACCTGCATCAAGGCGCCAACTTCACAGGTTAGTACTGGACACAGAGAGAGAGAGAGTTCTTCTTCTTCCTCTTCTAAGTCCACCTCTCTTCTCACCCTCTCGCCACCTGACTTCTCAGACTACGACAGAGAGAGAGAGTTGTGACTTGAGACTTGACGACATTGGATCCAGACTTGACA